TGGGCTGGCCACAGGTTTGGGGGTGCAGGGTTCACAAAGAAGATCCTGGTGTCCCCAGTGGACACCTGGTTGTCACAGATGAGGGGATCCCCAAAGCCGCCAATCACCACCTTGTTGCCACCGTCAAGCAGGCTCTCTTGGGTCACCATGTGTTTGCCCTTCAAGTACCGCCAGACCCGAACCTGGGGTGGACATGGGGGGAGGGGGGAGCGGGGGAGGGGGCAGGTATCAGTGATTCTCTTTCCACTGGGGAGAAGAGACCACAGAGTCCAGGAACAAGTACCAGACTGGGTGCCTGGGCTTTTTCTTCTCTTCCCACCTCAGTTGCTCAGGCCAGATGTCCAGAGTAGACTCAAAGCCTGGGCAGAAATGTGCGGAGATCTCTGGATCAGCCCCCAGGAGGGGGCCTCAGGGAAGCACACACACTGGATGGATGCCACGGCCTGTGCATGTCACACAGAAGGACATGCACCCTTACCCAGGAGGCAGTACTCCCACTCGCTGGGTCTAACCGACCTCAGCCACCCCAATTCCTATAATGTCCATCTCAGCTCAGGCTGGAAGAAATGGGAAGGGGATCCACCCGGCCTGGGTGCCTGCTTTCCATGTCCTTACTTTCTCCGTCTACCCACCCCTGGGGAGAGCCCAGAGCAGCTAACATGGACAATGGAGTTGAACAGCAATGGGCTCTGAGCTCAGGGCTCTGGGCCAGCTTGGCTCCTTACAGCCTTGTGGGTGGGCTAAGACACCCTCTCCCCCCACACACCCCAGGAGGTGAAAGACCCCTCCTCCTGCCAGGCTCCTACAGTGAATGCAGTCAAGGCAGCCTTCGAACCACAAAATCAAGTTTGGGCAGCACAGGGCAGCCCCACCCTACACACTCTCACTCCTGGGGCCCTGAGGGTACCTGCTCTGACAAACCAAGCCCTGAGACAAGCCCACAGCCCAGGGGGGTGAGGGGGGTGGGTGGGTACAGGGGGGGTCGCAGGAGCTGCAGGCTGTACCGGGATGTTCCCAAGGAACAGATCCATGGGGACATATGCACTGGGGACATGAGTTCACCACACACTCCCTGAGAAGAAGCCCCTTTCTTTCAGGAGTTGAGACTTCTGGAATGGGTGATGAAAGACAATGGTGGCCTGCCCACCTGCCAGGTCCCTGCTGGGAGCCTTGGGAAGGCAGCATCTGTGGGGACTCTCCACCTTCCAGTGGCCCAAGTGTCCAACCTCATCCCTCCCAACCCCAGACACACAGTAGGCTCTAGAAGGATGATAACCAGCAGGGAGAGGGCTGGGCTGCTTTCATCGCCTCCCCCCACCCCAGCCACACCCAGGAGCAGCGGGGAGGAAGTCGGGAAAATCCTGCAGGGACTTGGCAAAGTGCCCTGGCGTGGTGGAGGGGAGGGGGCTGGGCAGGGGATCCCAGCTGTAGCCAACACAGGCCAATCTGAAAGAAGCTGCCACCCCCCCCCCTCATCTCCATGGAGAAGGAATGATCCGATTTCTGGTCAGGGAGGTGGTTTTAGGGGCCAAAGCAGGGATGGGCCCTGGATCCCTTGAGCCCTCCCTAAGAACGTATTGTGGGGGGGAAAAAACCCCACCATACCTATCCCAGGGGACTCCCAGATCCAACTGAGGGAGAGGCCAGGCAAGGACCCCTCTCCTTGTGGCCAGGGGGATCCCATTCTCCTAGGAGCATGATGGGCACCTGTCCCTGCACCCCTCCACATCTGAGGCTCGGCAACGGCCCCACCCACTTTTCTGCTCCTGTCCCCACACCTAGTCACTGCAGCACCCCCCCATGAGGGTTCCTGGGGTTGGGAGATTAGATGTACACTCCACTCTCTCCTGACCCCCACCCCTTACCCTAGTAAAGGCCTCTGGGATGGAGTGACAGCACTAACCACAGGCCAAATTCCCACTTTCACCCCAAGCAGAAGGCATCACCTCCCCTCGTCCCCATTCCTTTCCTATGGCTTATGGGGAGGGGGTGCGATAGCCATACAGTTTCCCTGGGGGGCGGCGCACTTGTTTCCAGTAAGGTAGTGAGCTCGGGGGTTGGGGGGCAGACACGGTTGGGTCTCCCGGGCCTGGGCACCACGAGGTGGGCCTGCAGCAGTACCGCAGGAACTTTCCCTCTGGCAGTCGTGAGTTTTCCAGGACCCCGCGCCCCACCCGGGGGCTCGGCGGTCGCCAAGGGAGCGGGAGCGGGAGCTGCGGAGCGTCTGGTGCCCGTTCCCACGGCCTGGGGCGGGGGTCTCAGTGGGGCGGCCAGCATCTCGAAAGGAGGGCCTCCGGGCTAGGGGCGCAGGATGGCAGAGGAAGAGGCCCCCAGCCCCGGCCTCCAGGAGGGGCTCGGGGGGGGAGGGCTCGGGGTCCCGCCGGGGGCGCACCTTGCACGAGTACGTGTGCTGCACCGGGTCCACGTTGAGAATCTCCTCCACGGTGCCCGTGAGCACCACGTTCGCCTCCTCCTCCCGCCGCTCCAGCGCGCGTTCCGGGCACGTCCCGTCGGCGCTGGGCAGGGCGCGCGCGGCCACAACCAGGAGCAGCAGGAGCGGCTGCAGCAGGGCCGGGCCGGACGGCCGCAGGGTGGCCATGGCGCGGGCCGAGGACGGCGGAAGGCGGCCAGAGCGAGCGCGCGGGCCTGGCCGCGCCGGGAACGGGACTAGACAGGACGGGACGCAGCTCCCGGGAGGCGGTGGGAGCGGGGGCGGCGCGGGGGCGGCACCCGGGGCGGCCCCGCCCCCTCCCCGCCGCCCCGCCCCCCCCCCCCCCCCCCCCCCCCCCCGGCTCCGGAGGGCGCGCAGGTCCCCTGCCGTGGCGGGGTCCAGCGACCCGGGTAAGCCGGGCACAAAGCGCCGGGAGGGCGGCACCGCGCGCTGGCCGGGCCGGCGGGAGGGAGGGGGCTGGACTGGGTCGGGCCGCGGTGGGTGGTGCGACTTGGCAGGGCGGGGGGCGGACGGGACAGGGGAGTGGGCGGGCCCGGGGGGGGNGGACAGCGGCGCCGGGCGGAGGCCGGGCCGGCGGGAGGGAGGGGGCTGGACTGGGTCGGGCCGCGGTGGGTGGTGCGACTTGGCAGGGCGGGGGGCGGACGGGACAGGGGAGTGGGCGGGCCCGGGGGGGGTGCTCGCTCTGCTGCGGCGCACCCCCCTGGATGCCCCTCCCCCACCCCTCACCCCCGCCCAGGAAATGCGGCTGCAATCGGGTTAATGCATAATCTGGAGGCGACGTGACGGGACTTCCAAGGGGCTCCAGGCTGCGCCGGGCCAGCGCCGCGGGAGGAGGGGGCTGCCAAGTCCCGGGCCCGCTGCCCCTCGGACCCTGCAGGGCTGCGCCCCTCTCCCGGCAGGAAGAGCCCCTGTGGGACACCACAGCCCCTGGGGACTGAAACTCGCGGGGGCCCCGGACCCCCGGCCGGCGCAGGCGAGAACGCGGCCCCAGCAGGCCGCGCCCCCGGCCGGCTCGGACCGGCGCGGGCCGGGGGCTGTGGTGATTGGGCAGGAGGGCGCGCAGGCCCGCCCACCGCCCGGCCCGGCTCGGCCCCAGCCTCCGCGCAGAGCCGAGGGCTCCCTCTGCAGTCCGGCCGCCGCAACGCGCGGTCGGCGGGGCGCCGCCAGCCACGCCCCCTCCCGGCCCTTAGGTGCGCGCTTCTCCAGCCAGCCTGTCTAGGTTCATCGGGTAAACGGAGATCCAGAGAGTACAAATTAGAGCCTAGCTTGGCTGAAGGTCGCGGGGGCGGGGGAGGAGACCCCTTCTGTCCCCCCAGAGCTGAATGTGTGGCACCCCCCCCCCCCAAGCCCGCCGCAGATCTCTGAGCCAGAAGCAGCGGAGGGTGAGTGGTGCAAGCGGCCCCGCCGGTGAAGGACCTCACCGTCCCCGACCCTGGGGGGGCGGGGGGGGGGTCAGGGAAGGAGGATGGCGCCAAGGGTGTATGCTCACACTTGCCAGTCTGACACTTGACGAGGTGGGGACCCAGGAAATGAAGCTGGAACCCCTCCCACACACATACACACAGCTGCCTGTCTACAAATATTGGTCACAGATGAGCAAGACCTAGAAGCCTCTCAGCCCAGATACAGACCCCCACAGACCAGAAAGGGGCTTCTGGGTCTCCAGCCAAATTACCCTGAACACCCTGAAGGCTGAGGGCTGAGTGTTCCGAGAGTCGTGGACCTTAGCCCAGAGAAATGTGTATGTGTTCTCTATGTCTCTCCCCACGCCCATCTTGCCTGTGTCCAAAGCTGACTCAGTCTGGCTCCCATGGAATCCTTGGGAAATCGGTACAGAAAGAAACATTCTACCTGGAAGCAGGTGTAGTTTGTGTCAAATTCGGTGTGCGCCCTCCATCTGGGAGAAGCGCTTCCATATTGGACTGGAGGAATCCCCCATTCTGGGAGGCCCCTCACCTGCTGGTCATGGCGTCTCCGTTAAGGTGTACTTGTTAGCGAACAGTCTCCACTCAGCAGCTTGCAGACCAGTGCAGGCTGGACAGGGCGGGCTGGAGGGTCTCGGAGGACCTCGGGCAGGAGTGGAGGAGCCTGCCCCACAACCCAGCCCGGTGGGCGCTAGGGCCTCACCCGCCCAGCACTTCCAGGGGTGCTGGCCCTAGTAAGAACCTGACCACGCCTTCCCTCCCCAGTACCGTCTGCTGAGCTAGATGTGGGGGATGGGAACCAGTTATGCAGGGGCTGACTGGGGCTCAACCTGGAGATAGGGGTGGGCGCCAGCAGGTGTGCCTCTCTTCTTTCTCTAGAAGTTAATTTCCCAAAGGTGAGGGGACATCTTCAATTTCTCCGAGGAGTGGCGGGGAGGGGGGTCACTATTTTGATCTCATTAGACTTGTCCCTTAACTTAGTTGACAAATGCAGCCTAGTGACCACCCAGTGGCCCTGGGTCTCCTTATCCCACTTCCTCCTCTGCCTCTCCTCCAGCCTCATCAATAAGGGTGCAGAAGTGAGGGTGCTGGGGGAAGGAGGAGGGCAGAAACGGAAGAAGCCATTCAATTTTGTGTCAGCTTTTATTACCCGCACTTGGTCAGGAACTTGGGGAGCTCTCAGCGCTGCTGTCCTGGTCCTGCCCGCCCCGCAGGCGCAGATTCATGAACACAGTGCACTGGGGTGTGAGTGCATACTCCCCAAGCTGGTGCTGGTCCTCCATGGGCTTCCCCTCGAAACTCAGCCAGAACAGATCAGCCTGCACATGCTCCTGCAGGCACACCTGCCGCTTGAGCTCAGCCACCGTCTGCGTCAGCCGGACCTCGTAGGCGATGCTGCGGCCCTTGTTGTTTCTCACCAGGATGCTCAGGGGATCCTCGCAGCTCTGCACCACCAGCAGGATGGTGCTGCCGGGACGCAGGCCCTGGCTGAGGAGGGGGACCCCTTCCCGCAGCAACGTGCCGGCAGGGTGGGTGGCCAGTCTCTGCTTGAACGCAGGCACGCCAGTCTTCTGGGCTATCTGCTGCTTCAGCTCCGCTGCCAGCATGTTGTCTCTCAGGGGCACCAGGAACTCCTCACCCCCCAGCATCTTCACCTTCAGGTCCCCGGCCTGTGGACATCACACAGACTCACAGACCCTGGCCTCAGTCCTACTGAGCTACCTGCATGGCATTGGCCACAGGGCAAGCTCCTAGGGGCTGGGGATGCCGCTCTCCTCCCCACCCACCAGGAAAGGGACCCCAGGCGCTGAGGGCAAGGGGCATTTCCAGAAATGGAAAGGCAGCCACTGGCAGCCATCACCTCACCCCCCGTAGCCCGCTAAGATGCCCCTCTGTGCCAATGCCAAGGATCTCAGGGTTGAACACTGGGGAAAACCCGCTTTCCAAGACCAAGACCCTGGTGTCAGAAGGAGTTCTCTCCCCCCCCCTCATGATTAGGGACCCAAGATTAGAGACCCAAGGGAGCTCTGAGCATCTCCACTGGTCCTGCACACAGTGAGGGCTCCACCCCTGGGAGACCCCAGCGGTGAGGGAGGAAAATCAACTGGTACAAAGCCCACCTGCCCCACCCCCCTGTCAAACCCCCCTCACCATGGCTGTTGGCTCTGGCACCGGGTCCTCCACAGGCGCAGACGAGTTGGCTGCCTCTCGGCTTCCAGCTCTCCAGATGCTCAGCCCTTTTATGAAGGGCTGTACACGTCAGGGGGCAGTGTCGGGAAGAGAGCCTCACCAGTGGTTGAACTCAGATTCGGTTTCAGTTTCCTTTTCCCAAGGTGCGCCCCAGAGAGCGGCAGAAACAAAACAGAATGATGAGTAAGAGCCGGGACTACCCACTTCCCCAGCACTCAGGACCCTGCCCCCGTGTGCGTTCAGAAACCTCCTAAATGTCCATTCACTTCAGGTCCTTTACATGATGCATAGAAGTGGTAATAACATGAGCTAGCGATTAGAACTTTCACTTTCCATTTACCGTTTTGCAAAATTAGAAAGTTTCGAAAACATTGCCACAATTAATTCAGAAATAACAAGAGTGACAATCCAAACTACGCAGAGATAGTCACCATTGGTTTAGGACAATATTTCTTCAGGTTGTTTTTTCCTTCTTTTAATGAAGGAGATGTATCTCTTATTTTCTATAAAAATGAACTAATAATGCACATTATCCTGAAGGTGAAAAGATTATTCTCAAAATGGAAGAAAATGTTTGCAAATCATATGTCAGATAAGGGTCTAGTGTCCATAATATATAAAGAACTCTTATAACTCAACCATAAAAAGATAACCAACTCAATTAAAAACTGGACAAATGTTTGAAAAGATATTTCTCTGTAGAATATATAAATGGTAAAAACCACATAAAAATATGCTCAACATCATTAGTCATTAGGGAAAAGTCATTACGGAGATTCAAGTCAAAATCACAATGTGATATTATGTCCCACCCATTACTGTAGTATGACAATAATAATAATAATATATTACTATAACATAATAATAAAAATAATAACAATTCAAAAAGAACAATAATAAGTGTGAATGAGTATGTAGAGAAATTGGAACCCTCATATTATTGCTGATGGAATGTAAAATGGTGCAGCCACTGTGCAAAACAATGTAGTCACTCCTCAAAAAGTTAAACAGGATTTTCATATGACCCAGCAATTCCATTCCTAGGTATATACCCAAAAGAATTGAACACAGGTGTTCAAACAAATATTTGTACCCAAATGTTCATAGCACCACTATTTACAATAGACAAAAGGTAGAAACTGTGGGAACAACCAAATCCATCAACAGATGGATGCATAAACAAAATATGATACACCCTTACAATGGAATATTATTGAGCCACAAAAAGGAATAAATTACTGAACACTGCTACAACATGAATGAACCTTGAAAACATTATGCTAAGTGAAAGAAGCCAGACAAAAAAGGCCACATATTATATGATTCTATTTATATGAAACAGCCACAGTAAACAAATCCATAGGGACCAGAAATGATTGCCAGGTGTTGGATGAGTGTGGGAATGGTGAGTGATTGCTTTATGGATATGAGGCTTCCTTTGTGGGTGATATAAGGTTTTAGAACTAGGTAGACATTGGGGCGCCTGGGTGGCTTAGTCGGTTAAGCGTCCGACTTTCACTTAGGTCATGAGCTCGCGGTTCGTGGGTTCGAGCCCCGCGTCGGGCTCTGTGCTGACTGCCAGCTCAGAGCCTGGAGCCTGTTTCAGAGTCTGTATCTCCCTCTCTCTCTCTCTGACCCTCCCCTGCTCACGCTGTCTCTCTCTCTCCTGGAGATAAATAAAACATTTAAAAAAAAAAAAAAAAGAACTAGGTAGACGTAATGATTGCACAACGTTGCAAATATATCGACACTAAATTATATACTTTAAAATGGTTAAATTTTTGTTATATAAATTTTACCTCAAAAAAAAAAAAAAACAAAAAACAAAGTTAAAAACACACATTGGGGTGCTTGGGTGGCTCAGTCTGTTAAGTGTCAAATTCGGCTCAGGTCATGATCTCACGTAAGTTCGAGCCCCGCGTGCCGACGTCAGGCTGTGTGCTGACAGCTCAGAGCCTGGAGCCTACTTTGAATGCTGTGTCTCCCTCTCTCTCTGACCCTTCCCCTCTCACACTGTCTTTCTCCGTCTCTAAAACAATGAATAAACATTAAAAAAACAATTTAAGCAATAGGAGCACCTGGGTGGCTCAGTCGATTAAGCATCCAACTTCTTCGGCTCAGGTCATGATCTCAGTTTGTGGGTTCCAGCACGTCACCAGGCTCTGTGCTGACAGCTTGGAGCCTGGAGCCTGCTTCAGAGTCTGTGTCTCTTTCTCTCTCTGCCCCTCCCCCACTCGTGCTCTGTCTCTCTCTCTCAAAAATAAACATTTAAATATTTTATGAATTTTTTAAATGTTTTTTTATTTATTTCTAGGAGAGAGAGACAGCGTGAGCAGGGGAGGGTCAGAGAGAGAGAGGGAGTCACAGACTCTGAAACAGGCTCCAGGCTCTGAGCTGGCAGTCAGCACAGAGCCCGACGTGGGGCTCGAACCCATGAACGGCGAGATCATGACCTAAGCGAAAGTCGGACGCTTAACTGACTAAGCCACGCAGGCACCCCTAAACATTTAAATATTTTAAAAATATGTTTTAAGGAATAAAGAAAAAGGAATTAAAAAGGTTAACACATCCTACTCTCACCATTTTGTAAATGCTTTATTCAAAAGAGTATATCATAAACATTTTTCCATATTAATAGATACTTTTAAGAAAAAAAAATTTTTAATAGCTGCATATGTTCCCCATAGCATAATGAGTCCATTATAGTATAGAGGGGTATTTAATCAATCCCATATTGTTGAATATTTAGGTTGTTCCCAAATTTTTCTATTACAAATAACATATAACAGGCATAAGTTAGCTAAAAATAAATAAACTTTAAGTAAATAAGAAAATAAATAATTTTTGAAATAAAAAGGTAAAAGAATGGAAATAATAAACGTTTTGAATATGAATCTTTCCCATTTAATTTCCCCATTTTCACCACTCACCCCCAAAACTTCACAGGACTCCAAAATTGTGAACACACAAAAAACAGAGGGATTTAATTTTTCTTCTTTTTATTATTTTAAGTTTATATCTTGACTCATTCCTTGCATAAGTCATATTGGTATTGTAAAAAGAAAAAACACAAATGTTTAGTGAAATAAAGAATACAGAATGTGAAAACCCCACCTCCAATCTCCCCCAGATGACCATTATTAAATATGGTATTGATGTCTTCTGATTTCTTAATACTGACATATGGCACTTTGTTTTCTTTTAGTTACTTTATCCCATGTCACCAGTTGTCTTCTTGCCTCTGACAGGAAGAACTAAATGCAAAATCATTAAGGAAGCATACTGACAGAACCCATCTCAGTTTCTGGGTCTGTCATAACAAACTACCACAGACGGGGGGGCGGGGCTTGAAACAATGGCAAGAAGTCTGAAATCCAGGGGGACTAAATGACCAGTACTGTCAGGCTGGTTAAAAATAATTTAATTTTACGTGACTTACAGAAGATAGGAATCATCTGAAACACAAGGATACAAGAAATTTGAAAGTAGAAGAATGGGAAGAAACATACCACATGACTATTAACTAAAATGAAGCAGATGTAGCCATATTAACAATTTTATTAACATATCAACAAATAAATTTTATATGCAAACTGTCACAGAGATACAGAAGGTAATAATAAAAGGTTGAGTTCAATGGTAAAAGAAAATAACTTTAGGGGCACCTGGGTGGCTCAGTTGGTTGGGCATTCAACTTTGGCTCAGGACATGATCTTGCAGTTACAAGTTAGAGCTCCACGTCGGACTCTGTGCTCACAGCTAAGAGCCTGGAGCCTGCTCTGGATTCTGTGTCTCCCTCTCTCTCTGCCACTCCCCTGCTCATGCTCTGTCTCTCAGAAATAAACACTAAAAATTAAAAAGAAAAAGAAAAGAAGATAACTTTAAACATGTACGCACCTAATAATTTGGCCGCAAAATATATAAGTTCTAGTCAGAAACATTAATATTCTACTTATGAAATTATAATGGTCGCTTATAAAAGGGCCTTCGGTTAATATCTTCTCTCATTTACAAACTAACTTAAACTTCCTTAAACCTTAAAAACCTTTTCAAGGCATTTAATATATTTGATTTTATCTTTAAACCCTTCAACTATCTAAAAACTGCAACAACAACAACAACAAAAAGACCTTTCAAAGAATGTCCACAGTCCTTACTACTTACACCTCACAGAGGTTTTAGTCTCACAGTCCAGATTCTTCTGTTGGATGCAATCTACCACAACAACACATCTCTGCTCTCATTCAGATCTTATTCCTTTCCCCCACCTTTCCACCTGGCCAGTCACTGCTCCCTGAGACCATCATCCTGGATGACATCTGATTCGCTAAGGACCTTTGGTCCCAGCTTGGAGGTCACCCTAAGGCACTGTGAAATGATGAGGGTAGGCTGCCCCCACAGACCTTCTGATGGATAGATGTTGGGAGCCACAAGCACACCATGACTTGCTGAGAAAGTGGCACAGAGCCTGCTACTCACTGTGGCTGACCAAGAAAAGTTGTCAGAGACACTGGGTGGGCCAATTTCTTAAGGAAGGCTTATTGTTGAAGTCTAATTAGTTGTAAATATCTGATGATGGCTGGACTCATTAAATGGGCAGCCCTCTCCTTTCCATGTTCTCTGAGGGAGAAGTGTCATTCTGTTCCTCCACCCAGCACTAGGAAGGCTAAGCATCCCATGACCTGGGCCACAGCCTCACTGTCCTGGGCCCCATCCCTTCCCATGCAAGAGCCTCACCACCCACTTGGTGGACACATCCTTCTCCTCACCACAGCCCCTTGTAATGAGTGTCTAGGGAAAGCAGGACTCAGTGGAGGACAGGGAGTCCAAATAAAGCTGTCATGCCCACACTGACCAGCTGTCCTAGCAGGACGCTCAAACAGCCCTATGTCTGGTTCTCCCCCAAACAGATTGGGGGGGGGGGGCTTGGATCTCAGGAAAGTCAAGAGATAGTCTGCAGGTGAGAAAGATTCCTTTTGCTGCAAGGATGGCCTGTAGGGAAGGAGAGAAGTAGAAGGCAGACCTGAGGTGCAGAGAGTTGTTCTAACCCAGGGGAGGCAGTGAGTTAGGGCTGTGGTATGGGAGGAGCAAGGTGAGGGGCACTGGACTTAGTTCAAATCCACAGGACCTGGTGAGGGCAAGGAAGAAGCACAGCTGGACTCTGCCCCACATGGCCCCAAGGGCAGGACACACCCCATAATCCTATGTGGTCACCTGTGTGTTAGGGACAAGCCTTCTGAATTTGGGACCATGTGAAAACAAGGCCTGGAGTCTGCAGTGTGGAGGCCCAGGGCTCTTTGTGCTGGAGGTACCGTCAAGGGGAGCAGGGGCTGCGACTGGGCCCAACCAGGCTCCCTTAATGTCCCTTGCCACTAAATGACACTTTCATCCCTTCACCCCAGACCCAGCAGGGAAGCAGCAGGCACCTGACAAATCCAAGGCTGATGATGAAGGACACAAAACAGAAAATCCAGTGGATGCATCTGCGGGCCCACCTATTCCACACCCCCTTTTGAGGGAAGAGGAAGGGGCGGGGAGGGAAGAGAAGGAAGGATCGGCCACCTTATCCTCCCTTTCTGCAGGATTCACCTCAAGACACAAAGCTCTGGTGCCCCATGAAGTCTAGAGCCCTTGCCCTGAGCCGTACCACACCATCTTTCACTTCACCAGGTGGGGATCTGGGCCTTGGGGCCAAAATGGGGAGAAGGAGACTCAGGTGGGATGGTTGGGGGAGAGGCCACCAGCCTCTAGTGTTAAAAATATTATCTCAAACTTGGAAATCCGCACAAGGGTCCTTCTTATCCTTGAAGGTCTCTCTGGAGGTGTCTTTGCTGATATTTTGAAGTTAGGTTGATATGGTATAGACATCCGTCGGACAAGACACAGAGGACTTCAGTCCTGGAGAAACACGGTCTTGCTGCCACATGTGGCACCTGCCAGTGTTGTGCTCACCTGGACCCCTCCCTCAAAGCCTCTGGGAACCTGTTGGTTTCCTCATTGGTGAGCTAAACAAACACTTGATTGTGCTCTCTCTGTATTTGTATGGAAGTTGCATTTTGTTTTTGCCTTGAAAATCATATTTTGACATCAGATATTGGAAGACATGCCTCCATTGCTCAGATACCGGTGGGATGGTGTCACCACACTGATTTGGGGAAAACATGGTACCATTGTCTGGATGTTGGGGAGATGTCATCTCTGTCATTCATTCATTTGGTCAACGTGTCTTTACAGAGTGCAAGACTGTGTGCCAGGTACTATTCCTGGACAAAATGGAGCTCACGTGGACAGACACCATGTGAGATAAGGAGGTGCAGAAGGCATGTGTTGTTGCCAGGAGTAAGTACGAAGAAGAAAGACCATGGGGCGCCTGGGTGGCTCAGTCGGTTAAGTGTCTGACTTCGGCTCAGGTCATGATCTCATAGTTCGTGGGTTCGAGCCCCGCATCGGGCCCTGTGCTGACAGCTCGGAGCCTGGAGCCTGTTTCAGATTCTGTGTCTCCCTCTCTCTCTGACCCTCCCCTGCTCATGCTGTCTGTCTCTCTCAGAAATAAATACAACATTTAAAGAAAAAACTGGTGCTTATGTGATGATGCTACACGTACAACGTGTGCGCTGTAACACCCCCTTCCCTAACCCCTTAAAAACCCTGTTCGCTATTGTTCTTCGCTTCACCTTCTGCTACTACACCGGTAGGCAGGTGAGCCCCTGCTCGAGCTTGTAATAAAGACCCTTTTGTACTTGCACCGGTGTATGCTCCTTGGGGGTCTCAGGGGACTCACGAATCAGACACATTTGGGGAATTGTCTAGGATGCCCCAAGACCCCCAGGACCCCCGAACCAGAGGGCCAGCCAGCTGGTAAGAATCTCTTTCTGTTGTGTTTATCTATGTAACTCTGGTCTCGAGACAAATCTGTATTAGGCGACCAAAATTGGTCAAGGCAGACGCGCTGGGGGCCACGGTTGCGGGAGACCTGGAAGACGTTCTGGGCTCCTTCTGTATTGGAGGGGACAAAGTGTCCAGCGGACTGTCCCTAACCTGTGTTCTGTATTGGTTCAGAGGGACAAGGCAGGTTGTGCCCACGATCCAACCGAAAGCCTTCGTCCCAGTTCCAGTTTCAGTTTCTTTGCCGCGGCGTGAGCAGCAAACTTTGTTATCTGTCTCTCTGTGTGTGTGTGTGTGTGTGTGTGTGTGTGTGTGTGTGTGTGTGTGGCTGTCGGTTGTGTCTGTTAGACTTTTATTAGTGGGCGACTGAGACTGACGAGATGGGACAGACTTCTGGGAAACGGGCGCTGTCCCGAAAGGCTAAGTCCCAACAACCTGAGTCTAAACCCTCGGCTTCTTTTTACCCCATTTTGCAAATATTGGTGCTAGGCTGGAGATAATAGATTAAAAGTTTTCGGGGGCGCCTGGGTGGCTCAGTTGGTTAAGCGTCTGACTTCGGCTCAGGTCATGATCTCACAGTTCGTGGGTTCGAGCCCCACATCGGGCTCTGTGCTGACAGCTCACAGCCTGGAGCTGCTTCAGATTCTGTGTCTCCCTCTCTCTCTGACCCTCCCCTGCTCACGCTGTCTCTCTCTCTCAGAAATAAACATTAAAAAAAAATTTTTTTTAAAAAGTTTCTTGGGGCGCCTGGGTGGCTTAGTTGGTTAAGCGTCCGACTTTCGCTCAGGTCATGATCTTGCGGTTCGTGGGTTCGAGCCCCGCGTCGGGCTCTGTGCTGATTGCCAGCTCAGAGCCTGGAGCCTGTTTCAGTCTGTGACTCCCTCTCTCTCTGACCCTCCCCTGCTCACGCTGTCTCTCTCTCTCTCTCCTAGAAATAAATTAAAAAAAAAAAACCATAAAAAAAATAAAAAAAAATAAAAAAAAAAATTTTTAAAAAGTTTCTTGCCTCCACAGAAACCTGAGGTCCTGGCGGTCGCTGAAAAGGACCCACCCTCCCAGGCTTTGGAGCCGCCGAAAAAGGAAACTAAACCCTCTGCACCGCTCTACCCTATCTTACAGGGTGGAACGGAGGAACAATTAACTTCTTCCCCTTCCTTATCAATCCCCTCCACAGGGCCCAGCAGGAGGGGCAAAGGTGCCACCCAAACCACCGGTGCCCTCTGTCCCGCTGGCCCCAGCGGCCCACCCAAGGGACCCGAAGCTGCCGTGGAATGACGACTGAGAGACTGGACTCTACCGTCCTGCCCATGAGGGCCACGGGCCCCTCTGATGATCGAGGCAACCAGCCCCGCCATTACTGGCCCTTCGCCACAAGTGATCTGTACAACTAAAGGTCTCAAAACGCTCCGTTCTCGGAGAATCCCCGCGCCCTTATTAACCCATTAGAAACTGTTCTGTTCACTCATCAGCCACCTGGGATGATTGCCAGCAATTGTTGCGGGTCCTGTTCACTGCTGAGGAGCGGAAAAGAATCCAATCAGAAGCCAGGAAATTGGTTCCTGGGCCCACTGGAGTTCCCACCACTGACCAGGCTCGAATGACGCTGGGGTTCCCCTGGCACGGCCACATTGGGACTACAACTCGACTAAAGGTAGGGAGAGTCTCAGTCTACCGCCTGACTCTACTGGCAGGTCTCAAGGCTGCGGCTCGCAAGCCTACAATGTCAGTCAGGGACCAGAGGACAGCCCCGCAGCGTTCCTTGAAAGAATAATAAAGGCATCCCGCCCGTGCGCCCCTGTGGATCCAGAGGCTCAGGCAAACCTAGCTGCGGTGGCTTTTATCATCACTCCGCCCCCGACATTCGGAGAAAACTTCAGAAACTAGAACGTCTAGGGAAAAGAGCCTCCAGGATCTAGTGCTCGTGGCACAGAGGGTACACAGCAACAGGGGCAGTGCAGCGGACAAGCAGGTACGAGCTGAGAAGAGACAAAGCCAGGGCTTGGCCAAGATCCTACTCGCGGGAACTGCGGGACCGGAGGACCGGAAAAGACGCCTCAGACAGTTGGCTTCAGGAAAAAAAGAAGGTAAAGAGAACTCCCGGCGGCTCGAGGGGCGCCCCCACTTAAGCAAAAATCAATGCGCCCGCTGCAAAGAAAAAGAACATTGGGCCAAAGAATGCCCCAAGAATAAGTCTAAAACTCCCATTCTAGTAATGGGAGATGACAGTGACTAGGGGAGACGGGGTTCAGCACCCCTCCCCAAACCCAGGGTGACCCTAAAAGTAAAAGGGAAAATCCACCGAGTTCCTAATGGACACTGGGCTCAACATTCTAAGGAGCGCACAATAATAACATCAAGGCCGCTCACACCCCTGCGGCGACTCACCCGTCGCCAACCACCACGAGCCTGATGGCCTGCCTGAAACGCCACTGACACCAGATGCGGGATTTAACCTTCGCTCCAGCAGCTTGTGAAGCTCCTCGTCGTTGCAGATGGCTAGCTCCGGGATCTCCACGGTAAAGTAGCGGCCCTTGATGAAGAAGAACACCTACCAAGTAGCTGAGGAACCACCGCCCGCCGAGCACTCCCAGCCAAACATGAGACTGCCCAGATCGTGGCCAAAAAAATTCCTAAAAGACATCTTCATAAGGTATGGCTTTCCTCAGATGATAGGGTCAGACAACAGAACTGCATTTGTGTCCAAAGTAAGCCAGAATTTAGCCACGGCCCTGGGGATTAATTGGAAATTACATTGTGCATACAGACCCCAGAGTTCAGAACAGATAGAAAAAAGGAATAAAACTCTAAAAGAGACCTTAATTAAATTGACCTTGGAGACTGGCGGAGACTGGGTAGCTCTCCTCCCCTTTGCGCTCTATAAGGTGCGCAACTCCCCCTGCCAGATGGGATTAACTCCTTTTGAAAACATGTCTGGCCTGAATTGCATGCCCTCTATCCAAATAGAATGCATGATTACCGAACATAGGTTTGTGTTTTCAGCTTCCTATTGCAGAAAAAGTAAGACTATTTGGGCCTTTTAAAAAGATAGTTTAAAAATTCTAGTATAAACACCTCTCAACTGTTACTAAGTTCTCAATTGGAGACTAAGGTTTCCTAAGTTAAAACTCTGCTAAGTGAACTTAAAACTGATGGAAAATAAGGAAAGCAATCTTGTATGTAGGAAACTGAGAGATACATTAAAAAGATGTAAAAAATAGAAATACATTTTTATTGAGAGTAAAAGAAAGTAATTTTGTCCTGGGGCGCCTGGGTGGCTTAGTCGGTTGAACGTCCGACTTTCGCTCAGGTCATGATCTCGCGGTTCGTGGGTTCGAGCCCCGCGTCGGGCTCTGTGCTGACTGCCCGCTCAGAGCCTGGAGCCTGTTTCAGTCTGTGACTCCCTCTCTCTCTGACCCTCCCCTGCTCACGCTGTCTCTCTCTCTCTCTCCTAGAAATAAATAAAACATTTAAAAAAAAAAAAAGAAAGTAATTTTGTCCTAAATAAGACTGGTTTTTAGAGAAAAATGGTTTTGAGACAAAGCTTAAAGGCAAAGGAAGGTGTAGAAGGTCCATGAAGGGAAATCTTTAAAATTTATTCTATGTGTACTCAGGATAAACTAAGGTTGAGATGAATGGAATTTTAAAAATACACTGGTATAAAGTTAAAACTCTGCTTTTCTCTCTAGTCAAAAGACAAAGTTTTCTTGGATTGTAAATCTACTCTTGATAAGACAATGTAAACAAAGGTTTTCTCCTTTTACTGCCAAGAAAACCAAAGCTTTAGGTTTCATCTTTATCAGGTCTTTGATTGCATAATTAAAACTTCTCAATGTTAAAGGAGCTAGGTTTTCCTACATTCGCCTTTCAGATCTTTTATTGCCACTTTAGTTGAATTAAAAAAAAAAAAAGGTTTTAATGATCTGTAATCCTATTTAGGATACACTTTATAACTTCCTAAAGTTTTAACAAACTTCCCAGGATTTAAATAGTAAAAAAGGTCTTTTGGCCAATTTGAGATGCTAAGTTACTTGGAAAAACACTATGTACAACAGTAAACCTTAGGTTGTATTGCATGGGTAAATGCTATAACTGCCCAAATATATACGGAAATCCTAAAGTTTTAATGTTTTAGTATAAAGTTATTATATGTCACGAAAATAACTGAATTTCTTCGTCAATTGCATAACAATGTCCATCTGAGATTCTGTCATATAAATAGATTGCTTGCCTTCATGCAAGAACGTCTGGGGGCAATACAACCCATAATACTTAGGGCCCAGCACCACCACCGTAATGCATGGGACCCGACCGAAGACCCATGATTGGGCCTTCCAATACACAAGAGAAGGGGGAAATGAAGAGCCTAAGTAACGTCATTTTAAGATTAAGGCCTCCATTGAGAGCACCCTCGGGGTGCACGTAGCCCCACGTCCTCAGACTGCTCAAGGCTAAAGCCATCCTCGGACCGCCCTCAGGTCAGCTAATCAAAAACATTCCTGTGGTCTGAGTCAGGGCTGGGAACTGTAGACAGTTATTCTGTACAAACTGGCCAATTTCTCACCGCTTGCCTGAACCCCACGAGGGCCCTTTGAACTCACCTCATAATTGGTCATTTTCAAAGGATACTCAAAAGTCATGAATGAGTCCCACAAAAAGTAAAGAACACCTCACAGATACTGAAAAGTAAAAGCTGTTACCATGGGTGCTGCTGTACAATTGTAAATGGTGCTTATGTGATGATGCTACACGTACTGTAACACCCCCATCCCTTACCCATTAAAAACCCTGCTCGCTATCGTTCGGGGCTTCACCTGCCGCCACGACACCGGTAGGTGGGTGAGCCCCTGCTCGAGCTTGTAATAAAGACCCTTTTGTACTTGCATCGGTGTTGGCTCCTTGGGGGTCTCAGGGACTCGAGATCGGGCACAACAGGAGGTGCTTCACTCACGGATTTGCTGAGACCACTGGGCTATTGCTGCAACACCTACTCCAGGGCTTTTTGTGCTACAGGGTCTCCTCCAGAAGATTCCTGCCTGACTCCAGCTGCTTTCCAACACCGCTTCCACTCCTCCGGCATGCTCCTCTGAGGCTGGAGAGGAGAATGGATAGCCTCATCTGGGTGCCTATATGTGATTGTGGGCGGGGGGGACTTTAGCTGCCCCCTGCCCCATCCTATCACCCCATGTTGACCGCAGGGGACAGCGACAGAGGGCAGGAGCAATCTTTGCCTGGCACTAGACTAGAATTAGCCTCAGAATAGGAAGAAGGCCTTTGGATGGGGCACCAGAGTGGGCCCCTGGGAATGGGGGTTGGGTCAGGGGTCAGCACCGACGAGACTCTACGTAGACCCACAACAGTGGAGGGGGCCCTTCTGGAGTTGCCATTTGGCTCATTCCTCTGCTCAGAAAAGCCGCCTGAGACTCTCAGACCCTTCCTGGAGCCAGAAGCCTCCAGGCCCCTGTGTCTCTGCCTGCCCCTCCCCCCCTTCCTTGGCCCCTGCAGTCCCTTTGATCGTGGGGATGCCGTTCCCTCAGTCTGGGGCCTTGAAGAGCTGCATTCTCTCCATAAGATCCCACCGTGCAGTAAGGATGGAAAGTAAGATTTCCTCTATCCCAGCAGCCTCCACGGTTCTTTTTCTTTTTTTTTAATTTTTATTTATTCTTGAGAGAGAGAGAGACAGAGAGTAAGAAGGGCAGAGAGAGAGAGAGAATCCCAAGCAAGATCCATGCCATCAGTACAGAGTTCATTGTGGGTCTTGAACTCACAAACTGTGAGATCATGACCTGAGCCAAAGACAAAGTCAGGCGCTTAACTGACTGAGCCCCCCAGGCGCCCCTTCCCATTTCTTCCTGTGCTTGCCCTCTCCTCCACCAGATTCGAAGCCCCATGAGAGGCTTTCCCAGCCCCAAGGGCTGGCCAGGCCTGCAGTGAGCCTCAGAAACGTCTGTGGGATGGATACAACACTGCCACCAAGCCACAGAGGACTGGAGACTCTGAGTACTCAAAAGACTATAGCCCAGCAACATAATTCAAAATGAAAATAATATCGCAGTGCCTGGCTGGCTTAGTGAGTAGTGCATGAGACTCTTGATCTCTGGGTTGTGAGCTTGAGCCTCACCTTGGGTGGAGAGAGTACTTAAAAATAAAATCTTAGGGGCCCCTGGGTGGCTCAGTCAGTTGAGCGTCCAACTTCGGCTCAGGTCATGATCTCACAGTTTGTGGGTTCGAGCCCCACGTCGGGCTCAGTGCTGACAGGTAACTCAGAGCCTGGAGCTTGTTTCGGATTCTGTATCTCCCTCTCTCCCGTCACTTCCCTTTCTCACATTATCTCTCTCTCTCTCAGAAATAAATAAAATATTTAAAAAAAATTTTTAATACAAAAAAATCTTAAAAACAAAAAAACCCCCGAACAAACAAAAAACAAATCAACAAAACAAAACCCACCATAAAGCCCAAAACATGAAAATAACATGAAACAGGAAAATAAATATAGTCTTGTTTTTCCCACTATGCCACTTTGAAATAAACAGATGCTTTTAAGGAAAAAGAGACATTTTTTAATGTGTTATTTTAGTTTTTGAGAGAGACATAGTGAGAGCAGGGGAGGGGCAGAGAGAGAGAGAGAGAGAGAGAGAATCCGAAGCAGCTCCAGGCCCTGAGCTGTCAGCACAGAGCCCATGGGAGACTGGAACCCTCCAACGTGATCATGACCTGAGCCTAAGTCCGAAGCTCAACTGACTGAGACCCCCAGGCGCCCCTGAAATAAGCAGATTTTAGTAATTGTTCCTCATTTTTTGTGAGCGCTACTTTGCTGTTGGGTAATCGAGACAAATGTGACATCACCAGCCCTGTGACATCCCCTTATCTGGCTTCTATCACCACATGCCTTCCCCAGAGACATCACGTCTGTCTGGTGGCATCGCCAGCCAGACCAGGTGACGTCCTTTCCTGCGTGACGGTGACGTGGCTCCGCCTGCCGCAGCACCCTCACCGGTTCTGTGCCACAATTTAAACGTCCCGAGACGCCACCCTGCCTGCTTGACGAGCTTGGGAGCCGACCCCTCTCCTACCCAGTGGCTCGTGTTCCACGTTCGCTGTGTCACGGGCCTTGGGGAAGTGCGCAGGCCGAGGGAATCCAGCGAGGCTTAGCGTGCGGCCGGTGGGCTGAGACCGAGGCCCCGCGGCGGCCTGGCGATGGCGGACGAGGCCTGTGGGCCGAGGCTCGCCTAGTCCCCGGGGCGGGCGCCCGACCCGTTTCCCCCGGCGACCTCTCCTTTCCGATTTCCCGGGCCGCCCCCCGGGGACTCCGCGCCCCACCCGCACCCCGGACCCAGCCGAGCCTCCACCTCGGTGAGAGCCTCGCGACTCCGCCCCGCCGGCGGAGGGGGCGAGGTCGGTCCGCCGAGGCCCCGGGAGGCCCGGCGACGCGGCGGCAGAGGCGGGCGCGGTCCCGGCCAGCGTGATGGGCCGCGAGCCCAGGCTTGACTGACGGCGGGGGCCGCGGCGGGGGGCGGGCCGTCCGGTGCGGAGCCTGCGAGGGTGCGGGGCGGGGGGCAGGGGGAGCGCAGCCGCTCATTGGCTGGCGGGAGCGTGGGAAAGAATGCGGAGCCGAGTTCCCACACCCCGCGGCCGCGCCGCCTCAGTAGCCCGGCGGCCGGCGAGGCTCCGCGCGGGCCCGGAGGGGACGCGGGTCGCCGCGCGCCCGCCAGCCCCCGGCGCTCCCCGCCCGGGCGCGGGGGCGCGGGGGCGCACCATGCCTGCGGACGCCCCGGGGACGGCCCGGAACGCGGCGGAGCACCGAAAGGTGGGGACCTGCCGGGCGTGCGGCAGGAGGCGTGGGGTGGGGCGCGCGGACGCGGGACTCAGCCGCAGCCCGGCCCGCAGCCCTCCAAGCCGGGCATGGAGAAGCGGCGCCGAGCGCGCGTCAGCGAAAGCCTCGCGCAGCTCAAGGCCCTCATCCTGGACGCCTTCAGGAAGGGTGTGAGTCGGCGTCGGGAGGTGAGATCGAGGGGCGGAGGTGGGGGGCGCGGGCGTCTCCGCGCGCCACGGGGTTGCAGGCCGCCCACCCCGCCCCTGCTCCCGGAGCTGCCGCCGTTCGAAGCTGGAGACAGCGGACACCCTGGAGATGGCCGTGGCGCACTTGCAGAGCCTGCGGCGTGTGCAGGTGACAGGTGAGGCGCGGGCGGCGGCGTGGGCGGGGGGCGGTGACGCGAGCGCCCAGGGCCTCCGCTGCGGGAACCGACCGCCTGTCCCCTGCCGCCCCCGCGGCCGCGCTCGGCGCAGACCCCGCCGTCCTGGGCAGGTACCGCGCCGGCTTCAGTGAGTGCCTCGCGGAGGTGAGTCGCTTCCTGGCCGGCTGCGAGGGCGTCCCGGCTGACGTGCGGTCTCGCCTGCTGGGCCACCTGGCGGCCTGCCCGCGCCAGCTGGGGGGCCCTCGCGCCGCCCCGGCCGCTCGCCCCCCGCGGCGGAGGCCCCGGCGTCCCAGGCCTACCGCTGCCCGCCGCTCGCGGCGTTCGACGGCCCTTTCCCGCTGCCGCGCCCCGCGTCGGCCTTCGCGCAGCGGCTCCCGCCGGGCCTGACCAGGGCGCCCCTCGCCGCCCCAAGGGCCGGCCTGCAGGGCCGGGGCGCCCCCTGGAGGCCGTGGCTGCGGTGAGGGCTGTAGCGGAAGCTGCACCGCGTTCTAGGGCCGCGCCCTTTGCTGCGAGTGGACCAGAGGGTATTTGTTTCCAGGGGCCGCGCCGTGAGAGTTTTAATCTTTTTTTTTGTCTTCGTGAAGACTCTAGTCTGCCATTTCTTTCAGCGTTTAGCTCGGGGGTGGGGGTAGGGGTCTGCTGGTTACTTTGCGCTGGACTTCGGGGGCAGGACTTCGGGTGGCCCTTCCCCAGGGTCTGCGGCCCCGGGTCGGCCCTTCCCTTACCGCCCCTCCCCCCGCCCGGCTGGCGCGCCTGCGACTGTTGAGAAGCCAGCCCCCCTCCTAGAAGTGTGTGGGGTGTGAGAGGCCCCTCAGGGGGTTCGGGCGGGAAGGTGACAGTCACCATGTTTCCCAGAATGTATCCCAGTGTGGGGGAGCAGCTGTGCAGCGTCCTTGGGCAAGATATTTGTTTGTTTTTTAAGGTGCTTTACCCCACTCCCACTCCTGTGGACTTTGGAAGGTGGAGACATAGTCACCCGCCTGTCTTCTGTCTTGGGTGGCTCAGCTGTGACCAGAGCCTGAACCTTGCCCTGAAGCTTTAGTTCGGGCCTGGTCCACTTCCTAGTTTGTTCTCGTGGTTCATTCAACACAAAGCTGCCTGGACTGACTCTGCCCCAGGCCAGTGTCTGCTCAAGAGAGGGTGTCTAAGTCCTGGGGACAGGGAACTGGGGTCAAGACTGGCAAAGAACACTTAGTGCCGGGAGAGGGGGGGCTCTAGGGGGGGCTCTGGGGGGGCTCCCACTCCCCCAGAGTCCAGCCTTGCTGTGTCCCCTGGGAGGGGAGGTCCCTACTAGTGGGAAAAGACTGGAGGGTGGTCCTGCCCATGCCTTTGTCCTGAGTACCTACTGTGTGTCAGCCATACTGTGCCCAGCAGTGATACTAGGCAGCATTGGACATCGGCCCTGGAGTCACTGTCCTGAGGTCCCAACTCTTCCTGAGCTGCTGCGGGGGGCTGTGCTCTGGGTGCAGTGAGGGGGTGTTCTGAGTCATATAAACTGAGACTGGAGTATCTCATCCTGAGCCCATCTGAGGCTGAGCCAAGATTCATTTCCCAATTGCAGCCAAGTTCATCAGATGGTTGCCTGCCTTCTGCCTGGCCAGGGCCCGTCAGGGGGAAAGAGGGTGGGTCACCACCAGAGGTTAGTCTGCTGCTCTTCCAGTGGCCTCCGTGGCTGTGTCATAGGCGGGGGTCACCCAGATTCTCCCCTACTCCGCCATGCTCACCTGACAGGGACTTCCAGGTCCCCACCAAGCCAGTCACCCCCTGACCTCTGACTACCTTGCACATTTCCCTGAGAGTCAAGGGCCTGGGTCAGTGGTCCTAGATGGTGGCAGCCACGTGGCCCAGGTTGCATACCCTTGCACATACACACATTCGGTGATCCTGGCCCGGGGGGAGGCTCAAAGTAGTCCCTCTGTCTTCGGTGCTGTGGCTCTGGCAGGGCTGTGGGGAAGGAACAGTTCATAAGGCCTGGTAAGCCCTCTTGGGCAAAAGACTTGCCCAGGGTCTATTGCTGGACCAGGATGCTCCCCTTGGTTGGGGGAGAGCAGTTGCTCAGGGAGGGCCTCAGTGCAGAAGGGGGGTGGGGTGGGGATGTGAAGCCTGGGGGTGGGTAGGGTTTGTACAAGGTTGGGGCCCACATATCCTGCAGGAAAAAAGAGCGTCCTCACTACCTGTGTGGCCAGATGAAAAAGAGCCACCTGGGGAAATCACCTGGGACTCAAGGCCGTCATGCTCTCCCTTCCACGGGAGGGCAGCGTTTACTCTAGGCCAGACCCCGGTCTCCCGTTCCCTGCCTGCCTTACTCCCTGTCGTTCCCACCCCCACCCGCACCCCCGTTCTACCTTTACTTCCTATTTCTGGTAATCGCTTCTCAGCGCTATTGCCAAAAGGAGCTTTGCAGTGAGGACCCTCCAAGGATCTCTCAGGCGCTGTCGGGGACCACACACAGTTCCTTAGCCACGCAAGCTCTTCCTGGTCTCTGTCTCTTTGAACTCAGCCTCCTGGCTGGAATTCTCTCCCCACTTTCCCTCTGGAGACAGGCACCCCGCTCTCCGTGGGCTCCAGAGGCCACGTCTGTGTCACCCAGCCTTGTCCTCACAGCTGCTTGGAACGGCTCAACTCATACTGACTTGGTTAATTTGAATGGAGTCAGGAGATTTGGAAAGTGCTTCCTGTTATTTTTAAGGTATAGTTGACATACAATGTTGAATTAATTTCAGGTGTACAGCATAGTGGTTCACCAGTTCCATACAGTGCTCGCTGTGATCGGAGTACTCACCATCTGTGAGGGTACAAAGTTATTACAGTATTATTGACTGTATTACCTATGCTGTACTTTTCATCGTGACTTATTTATTTATTTTACTTAAAAATGTCTTTAATTTATAAAGTATTTATTTATTTTGAGAGAGAGAGAGAAAAGAGTAGGGCAGAGAGAGAGGGAGAGAGAGAATCCCAAACAGGCTCTGCCCTGTCATCTTGGAGCCCTACACGGGGCTCGAACCCACAAAACTGCAGGATCATGACCTGAGCCAAAACCAAGAGTCAGAGGCTTAACTGACTGAAGCCATCCAGGCACCCTAGGGACTGATTTATTATATAACTGGAAATTTGTGTCTCTTAATCCCCTTCATCTGTTTCACATATTCCCCATCCACCTTCCCTCTGACAACCACCAATTTGTTTCTCTTTATTTGAGTCTATTTTTTTTTAAGATTTTATTTTTAAGTAATCTCTACCCTCAGCATGGGGCTTGAACTCACAACCCCGAGATCAAGAGTAGCATGCTCCAGTTAAGTCAGCCAGGTGCCCCAAGAGTCTATTTTTTGTTCATTTGTCATGTTTTTTAGATTCTACCCATAAGTGAAAACACATGGTATTCATCTTTTTCTTCTGACTTATTTCATGTAGCACAACACCTTCTAGGTCTAACCATGTTGTCACAAATGGCAAGATCTCATTCTTTTTTATAGCTGAGATGGATGTCATTCTTGCTTAGATTAGGGCGGTCTGAGGAAGCACAGGCCAGGCTGAAGCTGGCCCCCTCCCCAGGCTGCCCCTCCTCAGCAGCCGAGGGCACCTGGTTTTTAGAGAGCACCCTCACCTCCAGCAGTGGAGAGAATCGGCCCCTCCCCACGCCCAGCCTGGACACCAGCCCAGTCCAGTGGACCCCTCCCGCAGTAACTACAAGGCCTCAGTGACTCCAACTTCCTGCGCACCTGCCCAGCTATTTATATTTCAGTGTTTGTCTTGCAGACACTTCCTGCTGAATAATAGATGAAGCACCTTCTCCTGGCCGGGCCAATATGGCAGGAATGGGGAAGCAATCAGGTCCTCCCCTCCTGGGGAGAGGGAGGCTGGAAGTCCTGCTGGTCAGTTCCCCTCCATAGGCAGGCAGAGTCTCATTCAGTATCTGTGTTTCCTTCTAGCCCAGTTCCTGGAAGGGACCGAGGGTCAGTAAACGTATGCTGAATTCGTGTGCACGGTCAGCAGAATTGCTTGCCTCTGTGGGTGTGGGCGCCCTGTTTGTCTGGGCCCCATCTGCCTGTGGGGCCAGGGCTGGGATGCCAATCAATGACAGCAAATCACAGGTTTTTGGAATTTGAACAAAGAATCCGTCCCTATGGTGACAGAAGAATAGGCCCACGAAACTTCGGTCAGTTGGAAATTCAGAGTAGGGGAGGGGCTGGGCTGTTTGGAGCCCTGATTTGTGAGAGGTGAGGCCTCAGCTCGCACACCAAAGCTCCAGTGGCCCCGCTGATTGTCTCCAGGCCCCAGAAGCCGCCTGCCATCAGCCAGCAAGCTCTCCCTCACCCTGACTCCAGGACCTGCTCCTTTGCAGAGGAGAAAGCGGAGCTGGAAGCCCCCACAGCTGTGTCTGGCTGCTGTGTCTGCTCCCAAGAGCCCTGGTGACAGTCTTCATCCTGGGACGTCTCATGGTCAAAGAAAAAGGCCTTGGAGTCGACAGGTTCCTGGAAGGCCACCAGCGGTCCCCTCCTGGTTTGTAGCCTTGTGAATGTGACCGATAAGGCCCTGTGGAAGTGATGCGATGTCTCTTTAAGGTTAGGCTGCACGTACCTCTTGTTCTCTGTCTGTCTGTCTGTCTGTCTGTTATTCACTCTGGGGGAGGCCAGCTAGCCTACGATGGAGAGGCCAACACAGTGTGGACCTGAGTGAGAGTGAGTTTAGAAGTAGATTCTCCAACCCACCGAGCCTTCAGGTGAGTTACCAGCCACTGTCAACATCTTGACAACAACTTAATGAAAGATCCTGAGCCAGAACCACCCAACTGGGCAGCTCCTGGATTCCTGTCTCTCAGAAACTGTGTGACACAGTAAATGTTTGTCATTTTAAGCTACTATAATTTGTTATGTGGCAATAAATAACTAAGTTGTATGTAAAATAAATAATAGCAATAAACAACTGTAGTCACCTCCACCTGCCTTCCTGACAATGGAATTGTGGAAAAGGTTGGGTGGGAGTGAGGACTGGACTTTTGGTGAGAGTAACCCCAGAAATAGTCCCTACAGCTGTGGTCATAAGCAGAGGGTGGATTGATCCTGCCTTTGATCACTCTGACTTTAATCTGGAAGCAGTTTCCTAGCAAGCCCCAAGCGGATGGGTGCAGCGACAGCTCCAGGGCCCTGCATGGTGCTGACCAGCCACAGCCCGGGCCCATCCCTGAGGGATCGGGGTGAGGCTTGGGATCATGTCTGTGGCGGTAACTGACAGGGCACCGGAGTCAGAGCATGGCGTTGGGGATTTCCAACAGATGAGAGATGCTTCATGCTGAGAGCCACAGTATGCAGCACCCTGGATGGGCAGCTCCCCCTGCCACCCAGAGCACGGACGTGGCGACGCTCTTGGGCCACACTGCGTTTCTCCTGGGTGGGGTGCATCCACTCTTTTGGCAGCTTGGTAACCATGGTTATCAAAAAGCATCTGGCTGCTGCTGCCTCAAAGGTGTCTCCACCTGGTGTCCAACCTGACACCCACCTACCTGGTGGCTTTGGGCTCACTTCCTGGACCTCCACTGTCAGCGAGGAGTCCCAGTGTCTATGTGGAGAGCTAGGGGCTCAGCGAGGAGTAGAAGGTCAGTGTTGGATGCTTGAAGCCCTGGGCTTGGTCCTCATCAAGCCCTGAGCTTAATGTAAGGGAGGTTCACACCCCTGAGCGGGCAGGAACATCCTACCTAGCGGGCCTGGAGGGGGAACCTCCCTGCAGCTGCTTGTCCCAGCCAGAGCCGGTGGAGAAGACGGCTTCTCCAGCTCTACCTCTCCCCACACTCACAGTCCCGCCAGCCCCCCTTGCCCTGCTTATTGTTTTTAATGTTCATTTATTGTGAGAGAGAGAGAGGAGGGGGGAGGAGCAGAGGGAGGGGGAGAATCTCAGACTCCATGCTGTCAGTGGAGAGCTTGACGCAGGGCTCCATCCCACCCGCAAATCCGACCTTTTCCCCAAATGCAGCAAGGCAGCTTCTTGCTGGGTGGGGAGAACTGCATGCCCAGTGTGAACCCCAGGCCCCTGGGGAATGTCTGGGCCACCCCAGTCTGGAGCGTGGGAGGGTTGTATGAAATGAATGAAACAGTGTCAGAACGTTCCAGTCCCTAAAAGTGCTTGGAGCTGGCAGCTGTGACTACACGGCCAGTGGCTGCAGCTGCGTGTGCACATGGTAACCGGGTTGTGGGTTTCTGGGCCACCACCCACTGGAGTCTGGGGGGCACAGTCCCCTCAGGCCTGCGATGTGGTGTCGGGGGAGGTTTGGAGAAGGGAGGGGGAGGGAAGCAGTTACCCACTGCTCCTGGAGCGGCACCTGCCTCCGGGCTTCCAGACGGTGTCTGCCCAGAACGGGGCTCCCCTGGGGCGGACAGGTGAGGACAGGCACGCAGCACCAGAGACACACGGTCCCATGGTCAGAGATAGAGACCGAGGTGGGTACAGAGGTAGAGACCCCCTCAGAGGCGGCCAAGGCCTTTTCCACTTTGACATACAGATTCAGACCTTGTCTCCTATGTCCTTGAACTTCCTTCAGTGTGCTCTGTGTTTGGGAAGGCCACAGACATGCATCCTGGACCCACAGTCTCTGGGTGGAGCACCCACGTTGGGTACCCCCTCAAGGTCTTGTCAGTGGTTCAGGGAAGGCTTCAGGCACAGATGGATATTGAGTTTTATTTCAGCTGTCACTGCTGTGGGCAAGTTACAGAATCTCAAATGTAAAATAAGATTAGTAACAACACCTATCGGTAGTGCTGTGTGGTTGAGGGATTAAATAAAATAAATAATCTGCATAATGACAGCTGCTTCCAGCATAGATGGAGTAGCAGGACCAGATTTACTTTCTTGCCTGAAACAACTAAAAACTGAACAAAATATATGAAATTGTAGGCTTGAAAGACGAGGGTCCCTGAGAAGTGGGAAACAGTTGAAGTGAGCCCTGTATTGCCCCAACTGACTGTCAGAAGACAGTGTTCAGGCCTTGACTGCAGGGAGGGGAAGTTAGGCGGAGCGTAGCAGCCTTCCCGAGTCAAGGAGGCAGAGCTGACGCGGTGGGGGTGGGGAGCCCACTGGCTAGAATTCTGGGACAGAGTAGCAGCAAGGAGAAGGAAGCCAGAGGCAGAACTCCAGAGGGTTGCCGAGGGTCTCCCTGAAGGCTGACTGGATCGTGCTGGGAGGAAACTCCTTGAGGCCATGGAAAGAGCCTCCAGAGGTGATTAGGGAGAAGACTCCTCGGAGTTTACACAGGCTCATCTCTAGCCAGATTGGAAAAGCCCATAATTCATAGGGCACACGGGAGAGTATTCAGAAGGACTTGTGCCAGTAGTGAGGGATAATTAGCCTTACAGTGAGTGCTGCTCCTCACAAGGTTTATGAACAAGACCCCAGGGGATCGAGCTGTCTCCGGACAAAGCTCCAAACAAAGCCCAGGAATATTGGAACACAGAAATAGCCAGCACCCAACACATTAATGTTCATGATGTCTGGCAGCCAGTAAAAAATTACCAGGCATACAAAGAAGCAGGAAAATATGACCCATGATAGGAGAAAAATCGGTCAATTGAAGTAACCCGGAAATGTCACAGGTAATAGAAACAGTAGACAAGGACATTAAAATGGTCATTACAGGGGCGCCTGGGTGGCTTAGTCGGTTAAGCGTCCGACTTTCGCTTAGGTCATGATCTCGCGGTTCGTGGGTTCGAGCCCCGCGTCGGGCTCTGTGCTGACTGCCAGCTCGGAGCCTGGAGCCTGTTTCAGAGTCTGTGACTCCCTCTCTCTCTGACCCTCCCCTGCTCACGCTGTCTCTCTCTCTCTCTCTCTCTCTCTCTCCTAGAAATAAATGAAACATTAAAAAAAATAAAATAAAATAAAATAAAATGGTCATTACAGTCATGCTTCATATGTTACAGCAAAGATTGAAGGTGTGAGAGACCTTCATAGAAACCCACTGAGCTTCTAGACATGGGTGTGATGGCAGATTAGACACTGAGGAGGAAAATACTGGTAAACTGCAGGCATACCAATAAAAACTACTCAAAGTGAAACAGAGACTTAAAAAGTAGAAAAGAAGCAGAGACGAGACAAGCACATTAGTTAGCTGTGGGACAACTTGAAGTGGCTTAATATACATGTAATTGGAGTCCCAGAAGGAGAAGGAAGAGGGAAAAAAACAAAAGCAAAACACAAACAAAACAAAACAAAAAAACCACTGAAGGAAATAATGAGTGGAATTTTTCCAATCTTGATGTAAACTATAAACCCACAGATCCTCAAAGCTCAATGAAACTCGAGCCCAAGAAATTTGAAGAAAACTACGATAAGGAGCCACATAATCAAACTGCCGCAACACAGGGACAAAGCAAAAGTGTCCGTTCTTGTCACTACTGTCCGTCAGCGCAAGGAGTCCCAGCTACGCCAATTATGCAAGGAAATGACAAAAGTCACCCATATTGGAAAGGAAGAAGTAAAACTGCCTATGTTCAAATGACATGACCTTTAAAATTTTTTTTTTCAATGTTTTATTTATTTCTGAGAGAGAGAGACAGCGTGAGCAGGGGAGGGTCAGAGAGAGAGGGAGATACAGAATCCAAACCAGGGTCCAGGCTCTGAGCTGTCAGCACAGAGCCCGACGCGGGGCTCAAACCCACAAACCGTGAGATCATGACCTGAGCCGAAGTCGGACACTTAACTGACTGAGCCATCCAGGGGCGCCTCAAATGACAGGACCATATATGCAAAAAATCCAAGGAAATTCAGTAAAACTATTAAAACTAACACATGAAGTAAGCAAGGTTGCAGGGTACAAGATATTTTATTTTTTTGTCTTGTTTTGTTTTGTTTAGTCTTGTATTTGGAGATTTCTCACTCGTCATTTTATTTATTTACTTTTTAATGATGTCATTAGTGATTTTTTTCCCTTTATAGTTTATTGTCAAGTTGGTTTCCATATAACACCCAGTGCTCATCCCAACAAGTGCCCTCCTCCGTGCCCATCACCCCTTTTCACACCATACACAGAAATTAACTCAAAGCAGATACTACGCATAAATGTAAGGGCTACAACTTTTATGAAATTTTTAGAAGAAAATTATCTTGGGTGATGAAGGACCTTAGACAAAGCCTTTTTAGGTATGATACTGAAAGTGTTAAGGGACAAAAGAAAAAAGACACATAGAACTTTGTGAAAAATAAAACTTGTGCCTCAATAGACATTATCCAAAAAAAGTGAAAGACATAGGAGAAAAACATTGCAAAACATGCTTTAATATATAAATGTGTTATATATTAATAGGTATTATATATATTTAAAATATATAACTTTCAACTCAGTAATAAAAAGACAACCCAACTAAAACAATGGGTAAAAAATCTGAACAAGCATTTCTCCGAAGATATATAATTGGCCAATAAGTACCTGAAAAGTCACTCGACATCATAGCCATCATGGAAATTTAAATCAAAACCACAATGAGATACCACTTCACACCCACTAGGATAGGTATAATTAAAAAGGGGCATCTGGGTGGCTCAGTTGGTTGAACGTCTGACTCTTGATTTCAGCTCAGGT